GACTCCCCCGCGGACTCTGCTGTCTTCGCGCTGTGCTTGAGCAGCAGCGGGGGCATGCTCACGATAGGCGGAAGTTCTCGGCCCCTGGGGTTGGGTAGATGTACGTTTGGATCATCTGGGCAGAGGGATGGGTTGCGCTGTGATGGGTACACGTGCGCTGGAGATGGGATGCTATGGGATGGAATTGGGATGAGACGGGTGAGATGGGATGGATCGCGCTGGGTTGCAGACGTACGGTGCACTGGGGTTGGCAGGTGGCAGACCAGGGCAGCGCACATGAGCGACGGAGTCAGGCCTGGTATTACGCCAGGGAGGAGGATGTGGACGGGTTGGTGGCAGGCGCGCAGTGAATTGGGGCGGGCAGGTGGCCGACGAGGGAAGGGGAGTGGAGGACAGGGAGAGTCTCCAGGGTGTCCTATCGAACGACAAGAGATCGCAGAGCCAGACATGCGATGTCTTGATTCATGAGCTCACTCCGCACCGCCGACCCCTTGGGGGGCAAGTTGCGGTTTCAGCACGAAGCTACGGGGGAGTCTTCTGGGGTCGCTTGGAGGTCCCTTGGGGGGTTTCTGGGCGGTCCTTGGGGCTAATTTATTCCAGGGTGCCGAAATATCGCAGGTACGAGCGAGGTGCGAACCATCATGCGGTGCGACACGTTGCAGCGCGGATCGCTCAAGGGGTTCAGTCTTTTCCCACTGTACACCCTCGTCATGGTGTTCTGACGCTGGTGTCGGCGGAGGGCCCCCGTGAACAGGCGACGTGTGCAGAAAGGGCGCGGAGCTACGAATGGCGGACTGGGAGCCAGCGCTCACGGGGGGTGGCGGGGCGGGGGCGGGAGATGAAGACGTGGGAAACGCACCAGACGATGTGAACATGGCAATTTCCATGGACGAGTTCGAGAGTGCAGTACCACATGCGAAAACGCAGCTGGAGGCCCTGGCACGGGGTCCGCTGGCGGGAGCAGACGGGTTCCGGACAATCCTGGGAATGGGTTTGGGACATTTGTTCGGAATCCAGTGGTGTCCGCGGTGTCCAGATTGTGATTGTGCGGATTTGGTTGGCAGCAACGCGAAGGTGGTCGGCGGCTGCTCGGGGAGGGTGGATGGCGTGTATGGTTCCATAGAGGCGGAAAAGTCTGCGGAACGCTTGCATTTGCAAGCACAGCTGTTCGTGCAATGCCTGCAACAGCAAGCCCCCGCGCACGATATTCTCGGGTTTCCGCATGCGGACTTGCAGACGCTGATCAATTTGTGTTCGGCGTATAAGAGGCACATATAGCGGCAGGTGTGCGACGACGTGAACGAGTGGAGAGAACAGGATAAGTGGAGGCGGCGTGGCCAGCTTACAACTAGACGCGCGATCTTGTGCGATCCGCGGGGTCTCTGGCGCAGTCACGCGCAGGTGCGTTCCAGTGGTGGCTGCGGAAGTAGCTGGGAGGTGTTTGTTTGTGCGAGGACAGTGGTGCCGTCAAAACGGCGTCCACACATTGAATCAACGTCTAGGCAAGATGGTGCAATTGTTTCGCTATCAAACATGTGATGGCCCAATCTAGTGCAAGAGCTGTTTCCTTCAATGCATGGCAGGTGGAGATGGCACTTCTACTCGGCAAGGGTTTCCTGAAGTCTCGGGGGCATGCCGTGCGCAGGCCGAAACGACATGATTGGTCGTTTGGGAGGGCGCGGAGACGAAAGACATCGTGCTCGCCGCGCAACGCGCGCAGAACGGGCAAGCGGTTTTCAGCTGACTATGGAGCGAAGCGGCTGGCTTCTGCTTTCAGCGAGGTGGCGGGTTGCAAAAACAAGGCGCCGCAGTTTGAGAAAACAATTTCAGGCAGCGGAGCGCCTTTTGCGTGGCCTATATAAGCACATTGCCCGATTTTGCCGGACGTGTGCGGGACGGGCGTATCGCTTTCTGCGCAGGGGGCGTTAACTTGCACGCGTGTGGGGGCCCGAGAGATTTGACGGCTGTGGATAGCATCGAGAAGCCGATGACTGCAATGGTTTCTGGTTTCGACGTGGTGCGACTCGCGGAGAGGGCGTGCGGTGTTCACTCGGGGCGGTCGCAGCCAGTCAGACGCCGCCTCGAGCGCGACGGGGCGCGCGCGCAGCTCGCGCGGCGTCGTGGGGCTGGGCGTTCTTGTGCGCCGCGTGCCCGCTGGCGTCGGAGCGGGCGTCGGAGTTGAGGTGCTTGTCAGTGTTTGATTGTTCGGTGTTGGCGGATTGAGGTGACCCAGTTCTCGACGAGGCAGTTGGGCGAGCCGGGGGGGGGGGCGGAGGGCGAGGGCGAGCGTCGCGCGATGACAGCGGTGCAAGAGGCGCGAAGGCGAGGATGTTATTGCGAGGGTCAGGGTCGCGGTGCGTGTGGGCGGGGGGGGGGCTCTGGTGGCTGGAGTAGATTGTTTGGGTCCGATGGGGCGAATGCGACAGATGGGTTGCGTTTCCAGACGTGCCCAGATTTGGGGCGACCCAGCGCGGGGGTATCATCGCGCGCAACAGATGTCCTTTAGAGCCGAGTTTCCGAGGCGCCCCGCTGCCGATGCGCAGGTAAGGGGGGGCGGGCGGGAGCGCCCGCGCGCTGATGGCGCCCTTCGGCCATTCGCGCCGCGCGCGACTGCGATGGGCGGGGCGTTGCGCTTGTCCGGCCGGCGCGGCTGGTAGGGGGGCGCGGGGGGGCGCTGCGCGCGAGTGATCGGATGGTGGGCTCGCCTGCGAGGAGGCAGAGAGGCGCGCGCGTAATTGCGTGGGCAGTTTCGCCTGCGCGCCGATGGGGGGGGAGCCTGGGAGCGCGAGGGGGGCCTGTTCAGTGGCGAGGGGGCGGGCGCGGGCGACGTCGACGACGATGCGCGACGACGGGGCGCGTGGGAAGCGGCCGCTCGGAGGGCGAAACAGGGGGGGCGACTGCGGCGACGGTGGAAGCCCCCCGGATGAGCTCGGAAGCAGTGGCGCCGCCAACTCGCGCATGGGAACGATCGGCAAGCGTGGGAGGGGGGGGTTCCAGGCGGGGCTTCGGCGCGGAGTCGGCGACGGACTTGGCGCGTGGAGAAGCAGGGGCGCGGGCGTCGCAAGTGAGCGCGGCGGGCGAGGTGCCGCGGCTGCGCGACAGCGCGGGGGGCCGTGAGAGGGGGCGCGGCGCGCGGGGCGTCGGAGCTTCGGACGTCGAGAGCGAGTCTTAGCGGCTCTGCGAGCCAACGACCAGTGGAGCTGAATGGAAAGCAGCGGGGGGTTTGCGGGAGGTCGTGGACAGGATGATAGCAGCGTGTGGGGGGATGTAGAGGCCCCGAGGAAGTGGGGGGCCGCTGCTAAGGGTGCTCCGCGGGGGCCCAGGGACAGGGGAGTCGTCGTGTCGCGGGAGCGCGTCGTTGAAGCGGCGTCGTGGCTTGGACTGTCGGTCGGCCGCGTAGCAGGCCCTGGGCGCGGCGGCTATCGACGGGCATGCGGCGCGCGCGGCTGTTTGAATGGCGCCGTTGGAAAAATTGCTCGGTGGCGCGAAGCGAGTGGGTGCGGCGAAGCGGATCCAGCAGTGGCGGCGGCTGATCGTGGACGATGTCGGCATGGGGGGCCCGGACTTGCTCGTGGGAGTTGACGCGCATCTGCGATATGTCATGTCGGGGGCGCGGTCTGGTAAGGTGGGTGCGGGTGGATTGTGCAGGTCTGTTGGCGGCGGGGATGTCTGGTCCAGCAGGGGCTTCTGCCAGTTGGGGCCCCTGGGTGGGGCGCTGTTGAATGCGATCCCGTCGTCGTTGGCGCGCGAGGCAAGGCCGTGCGCGCCGAGCCCGGAAGTGGGCCGCGACCGTTGCATGCTGTCGGGCGACGGGCAGGGGGCCGCGGCAGGCATGGCGGAGACCGAAGCGCGGATGGCCAGGGCGAGCAGGCAGGTTTTTTTGGGCGTGCAGGATGAGTTCAGGCGTGGTGGCCAGGGCGGGAGGCATCACTTTCTCCGCGGCAGACCGATTGACGCGCGGGGGTCGCGTCGGACACGGGTGCAATGCGGCTCGAAGGGGTGCGCGTGGAACGCGGCCGCGATCGCGGGGGATGACGCGCGTGAGTGTGAGCGCGGAAAGGGAGAGCGGAAGCGGTGACTGCCGGTGGCGAGTGGCCCCGGGGATGAGCGTTTCGCGTTGCCGGAATTTGTGGCGGCGGCAGCAATATATCCGAAACAATATTCCCCAATCAGAATTTGCCTCTGTAGGGGTCCTAGCGGACTCGCATGGTTGGGTGAAGTTTGTCACCGATTTCCGCGGCGCGCCAGGGTGCCCGGGTGCCTGGGTGCCCGTGTGCCCGGGTGCTCCCGGGTGCCCGGGTGTCCGGGTGCCCGGGTCTTTTTTAGCCCTATAGCCTTATAACCGTATACCACTGTTGTCCTATAGTCCTATAGCCCAATGGCCCAAGTGCTTCATTGCCCTATGGCCCCATAGCCCAACAGCCCTAGTGCCCTAGAGCCCTAGAGTCCTATATCTCTATAGCTCTATAGCCATAGAGCCCTATGGCCCTGTAGCCCTGTAGTCTTACCCTTATAGCCCCATAGCCCAACAGCCATATAGCCCTATGGTCCTATAGCCCTATAGCCCTAGAGCCCCATCGCCTGATAGCCCTATGTCCCCATGGCCCCATCGCCTTATAGCCTTGTACCCCTACAGCGCAATATCTTTGTCACCCTATCGCTCCATATGCTTATAGCTCTGTATCCCTATAGCCCTGTGGTCCCATAGTCCTACAGCCCTATAGCCCTACGGTCCTATAGTCCTATAACCCCATGACCCTGTGGACTCATAGTCCAATGGCCTTATAGCCCTATAGCCCCATGGCCCCAGAGCCCCATGGCCCCATGGCCTTATAGCCCTAGAACCCTGTAGCCCTATGGCCCTATTGGCGCTACAGTCCTATAGCCCTATAGACCGATAGCCCTATAGCTCCATCGCCTCATAGCCCCATAGCCCTATAGCCCCGCAGCCCCATGGCCCTATAGCCCAGTTGCCGCGTAGCCCTATAGCCCTAAAAAGGCTTTGATTGGGTTTTTCTCCAGTGTCATGCGACGTGCAAAGTGGCTCGGTGAAGCGCCGTGGACTGGGCCGCTAGTGCGTGGGGGCAAGTTTCGTGTGTGTGTGTGTGTGTGTGCGCGGAGCGCGGCCCGCCGTGGCCCTCGCCTCCAGCCGGCGTGCACGTCGGCGGACAAAATGCGATGGTTGGGCTTCCGCGACCAAAGCTGCGCATCCGTGCCTGGTTGGTTGCCGGCAGCCGCGGGCGCGCCCGTGGTGCTCACTAGCCGTCTGGATCGGTCAGAGAAACAGCTTCTGCGATGCCCCGGCGGGGCCAATCGTTCGTGGGTTGTAGAAGACGAGGGGGGCCCTTGCGATGACATGGTCGAGGCGACTCTGTGTGAGTTGACGATGCAGATTGCGCTGAATGTCCACGCCGAGACGTGGGGGTTACAGGGCGTGGGGAAGCGTGGCCTGCATGTCGCCTGGCGTAGGGCGTGGCATGTGTCAGGGGTGAAGCAGGAACAAGGTTGGGTTTCCTGCAGGCCTCGCGAGCGCGGCGCATGCGGCTCAAGGGCGGGCGTTGGGCGCGGTGATCGCGGATTTGAGCGGGGGCGCAGCGTCGGCTGGGCGCTCGGTCGCGCGGCCGTCGCCCGCGTGAAAACGCGGCGGAGGTTGCTTGTTCGACGCTCGGTGGGTCCACGCCTCCGCGCGCAGGGCGGGGGGGGCAGAACGAAGGCGCTGCTGGGGGGTCGCGGGGGCGGGGGCTTCCGCGGGGCGAGGTCGACGAGGTGCTCGATCCGCGGAGGAAGTGCAGTGAGTGCAGCCGGGCCAGATGGAACATTCTTTTCGCGCGCTCTGGTTTTGGGCTCGATCTCGCGTCGCGACTGCGTGGGTCTCTGAAGGGGGCGGGGGGGGAGTGGCGCGCCAGGTGCGACGATGAGGGCGGCCGAGGGGGGGGGAAAGGTACCCTGGGGGATTCGAGTGCGTTGTCGGGCGGCTAAGTGTGCGACCGATGTTCTGAGGGGGCGCCGAGACAGGAGTCTCGGAGGGAGTCGTGGACGTCGCGCGAGAACGCGGGTGGGAAGTTCAAGGAGCGGCGCGCGCGATGAAATCGGGCGGAGGCAGAGGCCGCCGCGGCGCGGTGCGCGACGAAAGCTGCGGGGGAGAGGCGGGCGGGCGGGGCGCGGCGCAGAAATCTGGCGCGAGCGAGGGGCGTTCAGCGCGGAAGACGAAATCCTTCCTTTCGCGGACAAAGGGCGCCCGCCAGAGAAGCGGGCGTGGAATTTCCGCGCCGCGGGCAGTGGCCGTCGCCCAGTGGTGCGCCGCGCATGTCGTGGCGCGCGCGCGGGGGCCGCGAAATTTCGGCGTTCTGCAGGCCCGTTGAATGGCGACGGTTCGATGCCGGCGGCTGCTCGGACGGCGGCAAGTGGCGAGGGTCGATTGGCATCTCACTGGCGCCAGCAGGCTCGACGGGAATATGGCGACAGAGCGACGCGCAATGATCATTCGCACCTGCGCTTGTTGGAATGTTGCGGGGCCGTCATTGCGACTTGTTGAGCCTCGTCGGAGCGTCGGGAGCTCAAAAGTGGAGATACCAAGGACAATTGTATGTTTTTGCCTGTGGGGGCCCGCGGGAGGCCCCGGTGAAACTTTTTTGGGGCGCTCGAAAAGGCGAGAACATAGAAATGGACCGAAGATTTTGATTGGTTGGGCGGGTCGTGGCATGAGTATTTCACCGCGTGCTCTTGCCCTTCGTTTTGGTTTTGTCCTTTTTGGTGGCCGTCGACCCGTTCTGCCGCGCGTTGTGGTTCGGAGTCTTTGTGGGCGTTTGCGCAGGTCCAGTCGGGGGCGTCTGGGGGCCCCTTGGCGGCCATGCGGAAGTTTTGGAATGGCCATTTTGGGGGCATCGCTGGGCTCTCTCGGGGGTGTCTTGGCGCCTCTTGGGGGCTCGTGGGAGCTCCGCGAGGCCTCTCGGGCCCGCCTTTGGCTTCCTCGTGGCCTCTTGGCGCCTTTTGGGCCGTCCTGGAAACCTCATGACCATCTTGGGCTGGTCTGGGGCCGTGGCGGCGCCTTTTTCAGCCATGTTGAATCGCTGTGGGCCGCCTCTTTGGTTGTATTGGGGCGGTCTTGGAGGTATTGTGGGCCGTCTTGGAGCGTCGCGACCTCGAAGAGGCGAGAACGTACATATTATTAGAAAGCCCATGGGCGATCAATGATTTTTGGGCTGTGGGGCCCTGTTGGGGGTCCTGTTGGACCTCTCTGGAGGCGTTTTGGAGGTATCGTGGGTGGTGTGGACAAGAGTCAGGGCCACATGGGGCTACGTGGAGGGCATTTGGGTCCGTCCTGGAGTGTCTGCGGCTGTCGGAGACTTGGTGGGACAATTTCTGGAGCGGATACCCACCTTGACAGGATTCTAACCCCCGATGGCCCCCTCTTAAGAACCCCCCTCCAACCCGACTGGGCCACGCTCCAAGGGGGGGCGCATATCGCACGCGCCGATGAAATCCAAGGGGTCGGCGGATTTTTTTCAATACGGGGTCCCCGGAAGTCCCGGCTTTTCCTTGGGGCCGTTTTTTCCATCCCGGGTTGATTTTTGAGGGTCTTGGGGCCTGGCGAAGGCCCCCCATGGCCGAAATCGGTCACACATTTCCCGTATTGTTTTTTTGTTGGTTCGCGGCGCGAGCATGTTTGGGGAGGCCACATCAGCCGCAGCGAGAGGAAGGTCAGGCGGGGAAAGGCATCCGCGGGGTGGGCAGGAAGAGCGGGCCATGGCCGAGGGGCAACGCGACACCCAGGGCGGAGCGCAGCGTCTCGGTCAGTCCAGGGGGCCAGCACCGGGGCGGTGCGCTATCCTCCCGCTTCATGCATGCCCGCGCCATGAATCACGGCGTTGTTTTGTTGGCCGTTTTCGGCCCCCGGGTGTGTTCTCTGGGCTCCAGGACTGCGACGTTGGAGATGTGGGGAGGGCCATGAGGCGCTCTGGTGCGATCGGGGCTGTCGAGGCAGCGGTGGGGCGAGGCCCAGAACGCAGCGCGGCTGCAGGGATTTGCGCGCGGCAGCTGAAGGTGGTGCCCGTGGCTGGAGCTCTGAGGGATGAGGCGCAGAGGGCGCGAGCCAAGGTCGAGCAAGCACGCGCACGCGCGCGCGCGCAAGGAAATGCTCCCAACACCGCCCTACGATTGCCCAGGACCGCCATGAAGTGCTCCTGAGAGGATCCTGGATGGGGTATGGGAGTTTCTTCGGCCCGACGGATGCTCTCCCAGATGCTTTCAGGATGTGTCTTATGCTTTCCAAGCAGCAATCATACTCACAAGGAGGTGGAGAAAGGGGAGGAGGCGGATGTGGATGAAAAGGAAGAGGAGGAGGCGGAGGAGAAAGAGGATGAGGTGGAGTAGGTGGAGGAGGTGAATTGCCGCAAGACATTGGACTGTGTCGCGAGAGTGGCCACGCAGGGCTTCGCAAGGCAATGCATATTGACTCAGCTCCAACGGGTACCGTTCAGGAGGGCAAGGCCGCCCAGGCTTATGCTAATCCAGCCAGCAATCCAGTTGCTCTGCCGCGCGATTCGCACTCAGCAACGTAGCCGACTGATGGGGGTTTGGTCTAACAAATGAGCGCATGCCGGGCTCGATGTGTTGGGGGCCCTAGTCAATGTTGAGCAAGAGAGTGCGCCAACGGGAAGACAGGATCCGGCATGAACCGCTGCAAGCGCGATGGCGGATAACACATCAAAGCATGACGCCATAGGGCAACACAGTACGGAGCATGGAGACGCATGGAAAATCAAGGTGCAGCAGGACGGACCACGGCGTTCGGCGCCAGATGGCAGTAAGCCAGCGCCAGGGAAGGCAGAGCAAAGTAGGCCAAACCGGCGCAGCGCTTGCACAGTGAAGGCCAGTGGCGTGGAATACACAATGGCAGCGTCATGCCAATCAGACTACGGCAAGGTAACATAAACATTGCGCGTGCAGAACAGGCTTGGTCAATGGCTAGCAGCAGGGCGCTTCAGGAGCTGATGCACAACAGAGCAGGTCGCATGCGTTCATGCTAAGGCAACTGCTGCGAGGCAGATCGTGTCATGCAGAGCAAGAGAGCAAGACACTGTACATCTCAAAGTGCAGTGCCTTTAGGCCAATCATGCTCGATGCAACGCGTGGCCGTTCTTGGCAAGCATGATCAGGCAGAGCTTTAAACAGGGGCGCAGGATACAGCAACATAGGATATGGTTCAGTATGGCCCAGCTGGGGGACGACATCACGAAGCGAAAGCGGAGAGGTGTCGCTTTCTAAGAACACGCCACCTGATTTCTGCCACCGTTCCTTCATCTCCCGCGCGAGGCGGCTACAACAGCTCCTTGCACCGCGGCAAGCCCGTCTGGGTTCCGATGGGGTGTGGGCCTCGATGCAAAGAGGTGCGCGTCGGTCATCAGGCCCGCCCAGGATTCATGTCAGATGTAACGCTGACCTTCGGCTTGTGTCAGAGACTCTAGCTCGACGAGTGCATACTTCGTTGACTTCTGCTTTTCTCACCAGGGCGGCTTCTGCTGTCATGTTCTGTTGGCTGTTGGTGTTGGCTTGATAGGTGCGTGTCCTAACATACCAGTATCAGTTGTTCAATCGTCGTCATGCTTCTTCGCAGCCAGGCGAAGTCCGAAACCGTGGTCCGGAGGGGAAAGGAAGGGCATGCGAGAGGAGGAACGAGGTGTGGTTAGTAAACGGAAAAAATGGATATGGAAGGGATAGGGCATGGGGGCAGTTTTGAACTTATCGCTGGGGTCTGCGCCTGCACGACTCGGGAGCGCGGCAGGTGGATTTCGCTCCCATGGAGCCCCGACGACCGGGATCATGAAATCCAGCCCGGTTTAGACCCCAAACCGTTTCCGACCAATGCGCGTGCAAATGCACATGCCCAATTGCGAGCATTCATGTACGATTGGCTTTGGTGGGCGTGTCAGGGACAATAACTCCATGAGCGATAGGTGGGGGAATCCAGTGTTTCGGGCAAGTTTGCGTGACTTGAGAG